GTGACTGGTCTTGTCTCCGCCCCTTCCTGTATTAAAGACCGGTCACTGCCGCTCTCTCTCTTTGTGCAGGGTGACTGGTCTTGTCTCCGCCCCTTCCTGTATTAAAGACCGGTCACTGCCGCTCTCTCTCTTTGTGCAGGGTGACTGGTCTTGTCTCCGCCCCTTCCTGTGTTAAAGACCGGTCACTGCCGCTCTCTCTCTTTGTACAGAGTGACAGGTATTGTATCTGCCCCTTCCTGTAGTGTTCTGCAGGCAGCCTGTAGTGTCCCCCAAGTGTCAGTGTGTCATTGTTCTGGACCCCCAAGTGTCAGTGTGTCATTGTTCTGGACCCCCAAGTGTCAGTGTGTCATTGTTCTGGACCCCCAAGTGTCAGTGTGTCATTGTTCTGGACCCCCAAGTGTCAGTGTGTCATTGTTCTGGACCCCCAAGTGTCAGTGTGTCATTGTTTTCTGCATTTCTGACGGATGCAGACCGCAGAGCTGCTCCTGTCAGCTCCGGCCGAATGATGGATCACTAGTAAGGTCTAGTGCAGACCTTACTAATGATCACCGCTAGATCACCAGGGAACGAAGATGTGCCTCCTCCCTGCTCGGTTGAAAGCAGGTGAGGGGGCTTGGAAGGAAAGGAGGGAGGGGGGCTTTATTAATATGTGTGCTGGGGGCTTTGGAGGGAGGGGGAGTATATTATGTGTGTCCTTTCACATGTGATTACATGCGGTGTGCAGGCGTTTACATGCAGCAGCTGTCCCCCGATCATTAATTTGAATGGGTGACAGTTGCCGCGTGTAACATGTGCAGACATTAACACTGGTACCGTACATAGTAGCGGCCCCCACAGGACTAAAAAAATGTGTCCAGTGGCCCCCGAATAAATTGAGTTTGAGACCCCCTGGTATAGAGGAATGACACTCCATTGATCAGAATCATTTTCAGCCTCTAGAATGATGTAATGAGCGTCTGCACATTCGCGGTGTTGGCTATACGCTCTGACATTAGCGGGTTTACAATATTCTATTTCGGGGTGAACATCTTTTTCCTGGACAGTGGAAACTTCGGGCTGTATAAACATTACAATGAATTACACCAGAAAAGCGTTTTATCCCCGCGAAGTCTCCATCCGCCTCCAGCTACTGCAGAGGTCCCGCCATGATGGAGAGAGTGCTAAAGACGGAGGAGCCATCATTCCCCCACTGACATCTGTATATGTAATGTCAGAGGGGGGGGGGAG